TTTTTTTTTTTTCCTGTGTAATTATTTTTTATAAACTGGTATTATAAATAGAAATATACATTCAAAATATATGGAAAAGTGAGTTACTACATTAAATTTGCATGTATCGATCCATCCCTTTCCCCTGCACAGTAATATAAAATACTATTTTGCCTTGAACTTCATATTTGACAGTGAAATGCCACTAAAGTATTTACCAAAAAGTCCATCTAGTCAAATTGTGAAACAAAATGAACCAAGTGAAAACTTTACATTTCCTTTAGAAAAAAATTACAAGAATTTTGTCTTCTAGCTATGAATCTTTAACTTTTTTTTTTTTTAGACACAAAGTTGGATTTATTTGTACAAGATACAAAATGTAAACATGGCAAAATAAATAGTTAAAACAAGTGATGCAGGATCCCATTTCATGCTCATGATCCCATTGAAGAATTATTTTTTAATCCATTCAGTTGCAAATTCAAGTGCAAAAGCATGATGATGAATATCTACTATTCAAGTAACAGAAATAATATTGATGATACAAATAAAACTATTTTACAAGGTAGTGATTTTCCCAATTTTACAAAATTTACATTATATATCGACTCAATACACGATATAAGGATAGTCCATTTAGGTCCATTTGAGTTCTCTGTGCCCCACAGAGTGCTGCAGGTTGCATCCAGCTGGAAGGAAGGCCGAGGCTGGGCCCCGAGGTTATGTCACCTCCATGGCCACTGTGGTCTCCGCCAGGCCGTTCAGCCCCAGCCGCTCTGGCTCGTGGTTCTCTCTGCCACGGAAGGAACAGGCACCAGTTACAGGCAGGACACACGATGGAACTGTTTCTTATAGCTGTAAGTTACCAGCCCAAATGCTGGAGGACAGCACTAAAAAGTCTCCTGGAGGAGAGCCCTAAAGAGTCTCCTGGAGGAGAGTCCTAAAGTCTCCTGGAGGAGCAAAGGCAAGCTACGCCAGGATGGCCCAGCAGCAGTTACTGTTAGTGAGCAAGGGATTTACTGTTCTAACAATCCCCTCCCAACACCCCAGCTCTGCTTTAGCACTAGCACAGGAAATTTGAAGTGTTTACCCAATTTATTGTTGTTCTCTGTAGAGAAGCCCAGGACTTACTCATCCAAGGTGGTGCTTTACCAAAGTGCTGATCTGACTTGAAATCCCCCTCTGATGTGAGGGAATTCAGAACTAAATGCATCAATGATACAGAAGTGCACTTTAAGGCATGATTGCCAATTCAAAAATACCTTTAAATAATAAAAATACCTTGAAAAATAACTAAAAGATACCTAAAACCACCTTTTCTCAATCCACAGAGACAAATGATACATGCAGTTTTCCATCTCTACAAGCTCTTTTTAACCTCTCCAGAAGCAGTATGAAATAACCAGTGAGCCACTTTGGCCAAGATATGTTTTTTTACTTTTCTAATTCATAAACAAATGTGATTTTTTTTTAAAAAAATAGCATCCTACAGTCCAGCAGAGAATTAAAGCTGAAATACTGTCATTTTCAGGAAACTGAGCTGACTGCGAGCTCCTGTAAAACACCTAAATATCCTGAAATAATAGTGCTGCTGTTCAGGGAGAATAAGTATCTCTCTCTCTCTCTTTATATATATATAAAAACATAAGATGCAGGTTGGCACATACCATCTTTATATTTTACACAAACATATAATCATGGAACTATATATTGAATATGTATTTTGTTTACATTCTTTTGTATATTCTAATATATAAAAATCATCCTATCTAGAAAATACAAATCTTTAAGTCCAGATCCTTAGGCATACATAAAATAGGCACATGCCAGACTGGATCTTGCCACAGAGCTGGGGAAGGACCACCTGGAGTGTGCAGTGGAACTGAACACATCACAGCGGTTCAAACAAAGCCCTTTTAAACCCAGCACTAGTCGACCAAAACTACCAGTGCCTAAAATGTGTGTAAATTATTTGGGGGTTAAGCTGCCAAATCAGCTCCTGCGGTCTGTCAGGGCCATGCTGAAGACTCCAGCAGCTGGATGGTTCTGTGAGGCTGAAGCTACACTGAGAAGCCCTCTGGACATGGCCACAGTTGTGGCTGGTGCCCTAGCCACACGACGGGGGGGTCACACACCCAAGCACAGCCCCAGCTTACCTGGCTATACTGCTGATGGCACTGCTAGGAGTTACCTTTGGCACCCTGTCCATGCTGGCAGCGACGGTGGCGAGTTTTAAGGCTGTTGGCGATGGTGCTGAAGTCCTTGTGTTGATGTGCACATTGACTGGAGAAACAACGCTGACGTTGTTGAGGTGCACGGCGCTGGGCAGGCAGGAATTGTTCATGGGCAGCGTCTGCGGGCTGCTCGTGCACAAGGCTGGGATCAAGTGGTTTGTGGTGGTGTGGCCGACTGTCCTTACAAGCTGTACAGTTGAAATCCCTGGGCTGGATGATAAAGCCATGTTGGTGGAGTACAAAGTTCTAGAGGTTCCTGTTACAAAATAAATGTTGTTTATTAAAAACACATCAAAACTTAGACATATTTATAGTTAACATTAGAGGTACTTAATGTGTTGTGTTTGTTTCTTTTTTTTTTCATTCACAAGAACATCAGAAAGTGAAAAGTTACTATATGGCAAAGAACTTTTACATTGCCCAACCCTGTACACCTCATTTTAGGTGCTTTAAAGGGGCAACATTCCCCATAGAAGTAAATTAAAAGCACAGAATCATGGATTCATTTAGGTTGCAAGAGACCTTTAAGATCATCAAGTCCAACCATCCCCCATCCCTGCCAGGTCCCCACTGCCCCGTGTCCCTCACACCACATCTCCACGGCTTGGGAACCCCTCCAGGGGTGGGGACTCCACCACTGCCCTGGGCAGCCTGGCACAGCCCTGGGCAACCCTTGCAGGGAAGAAAATTGTCCCTCGGATCCAACCTAAGGCCCAACTTAAAGCAGTTTCCTCCTGTCCTGTCCCTTGTCCCTTGGGAGCAGAGCCCGACCCCCCCCTGGCTCCAGGCTCCTGTCAGGAGCTGTGCAGAGCCAGAAGGTCTCCCCTGAGCCTCCTTTGCTCCAGGCTCAGCACCCCCAGCTCCCTGAGCAGCTCCTCTCAAGACCTGTACTATGGAATGAGGAACACCTTAGCTAGACAACCTCCCAGACCAACCATGGAGCTAAATCCCAGTGCTGTGAATCTCCTCCTGCCTTGGCCTGCTGGCAGTGGACCAGTCTCTCTGGAGGCAGAGCAGAACAGTTTCTGATCACACTGCAGTGCTCCCTTTGCACTCCCAGGTTCTGAGAAATTTCAGGTTTTGCAGCGTACATTCAAACCAGAGGATCTCAAATCTCATCTTGGTATCCCAGCTACTCACTCTTCTGATTTTGGTTACAGAAGATCCAGATACATTTTCCCCTAGATTCTTATTCCTGAAAAAATTCTTTCATCTAACAGCCCCTAATTTATGACTCTTCCTCTCCTGAAGAGGAATAGCTATTTTACATCATTGCCCCTCACAGCAGTAAGAGCAATCTGATTTTATCTGCACAATACCTGCAGTACTTCCCTTGTAAAGCTGTGTGCCATGTACGGGCACAGTGCCCTGCCATGTGCCTGACCTCCTGTCACTCCAAACATCAGCCTTGCTGTAAGATCTTTGAGAGTTACACACGTGTCTTTTCCTTTCCTGGAACTGTTCCAGTATATTGATTTTATTCCATCGTGTTTTTAGTCCCTCTATTCATTTCATATTATCATTAACCCAGCCTGGCAGAAGGTCTATAAAACTAATCACATCATTAGCTGCTAAAACAACAGATTACTCTAGAAGCCTTTTACTCATCATGGCAGTGAAATGCCAGGCAGCACGGGTCCCTCAGCAACGTGGCTGCTGCACCAGCTGACAGTGGGGGTCGGAGGGCAGGGGACACCCAAGCCTACACTTTTACCCAAACTCAGGAGCAGTTCTAAATGCAGTCAAACCTGCAACTTCAAAAGGATTGCTCAGAGTAGCTAATTAGTAGGTTTCTGCCTGAATATGCAAGTGAGATAACGACCCAGTAATGGGGAAGCTCTTCTGTTCCCTTCTCAATCAAAATGCTCTCAATCAAAAATTGGTATTTTTTTGAGACTTACACACTCGCACTATTTTCCCAACACTGTCACTTGCACTTTTGATCATAACAGACCTCTGAAAGATACAAGCCTACAAAAGGAAAGAGAACCTCTTCCAGCATGAGAGCACTCGTTAGCTGTATCACCATCCTAACCTGCAGGCTGCTGCAGAGGAGCATTTTAAAGAACACTAGTTAGAACTATCACAATAAACACGTTTGATTTATTGCTGTTTATTAGATGGCACCGTAGAGATCAGCAAGGAGAGCAGGTGGCACGCCCAGCCCAGGCTGGAGCAGGAGTTCTGAGGGACCATCACCTGAAGGCTGGATGACCCCGTTGATGCTGCTGTGGCTGGTGCTCTGCTCCTTGGTGGCCTCGCTGCGGCCGGGGGCCGGGGCGCTCACCACGGCAGACGCTGCAAAGTGGGCGCTGGCCGAGTCCAGGGTTTTGGACATACAGTCAGAGGTGCTGGAGCCCTGGGGGGGGTAAGAACATGAAATTACATTATCCAGGTACAAAATCAGCTGCCACGTTAGGATTGCTGTAATGCACAATTAACAGCAAATAACTAAATAGATCTTCTGAACCGTGCCATTAAATACGTCCCTAGAATCATAGAGTAGTTTAGGTTGGAAAAGACCTTTAAGATCAACAAGCCCAACCATTAGCCTATCACAATTCTGAAGAAGAGTTGAAAGTTAGTGTCCAAATGAGGGTTGAGTAAGTCCTGCCCAGTTCAGCCAGTCAGTACAAACACAGTTCTTAGCACAACATGTCGCCTCCACGGTGAGTTCCTCAGCCTGGAGAAGAGAAGGCTCTGAGGAGATCTTACTGCAGCCTTCTAGTACTTAGAGGAGTCTACAGGAGAGCTGGGGAGGGACTTTTTACAGGGCTGTGTAGCAACAGGATGAAGGGTAGTGGCATTAAGCTGGAAGTGGGTACATTTAGATTAGTTGTTAGACAGAAGTAACACTGGGGATGGGGAAGGAATCAAATTAAATATGCCAAACTAAGTTTTACCTCCCAGAAGCTAGGGAGTTTTAGTATTCACTGAACATCTGTTCATAACAGAATACATAAGTTCTAACAACAAAGTCTCTTGGGAGCACTTAGACATCTATTCATAACAGAACACAAGTTTTAACAACAAAGTCTCTTGGGAGCACTTACACAAAGGAGGACAAACCCAGTGAAAATGGTGTGATTTGAGAGAATCCTGACTGTTTCTACAGTGACTGACTCTGGACACAACTAACATTAAAATATGAAGTCTCTTACTCAACTTTTAAAATGCAAGCATGATATATAACTTAAAAAACAGCACAAAGCAAGAAACAGGGTTTTTTTGTTCAATCTTAAAATATTATCTCATTCCAAAGAGAAAAACGGAAGCAAGGTACTTGTATTAGCTGCAGCACAAGCTGCCTTCCAGGCACTACACATTGAACTGGAAAAGCATCTTCAGGAAAAGCACTCCAGGTTCCTTCTGCAATCTAAGATATTTCCTGAGGTGCTGCATTTGGCTCAGAAGGGTGAGGAGCAGCACAGGGGGAGGCAGCGGCAGGAGCGTTACCTGTGCTTTCGGATGGGTCTGCTGGGAGGAATGCTGAGATTGCTGCTTCTGCTGGAGCTGAGCAAGTTGTTGCCTCTGCATTTGAACTAGCTGCTGTTGGTGCGTCTGGAACTGCTCCTCTGTGATACCCCCTGTTACTGTGGGAAGAAAGAAGCTGGTGTTAGACGGGCCTGCCCAGAACAAAGACACCTGAAACGCAGGAGTGTGTCCACCTCAGGTACCGAGCGGCTGGAGACAGCACACGTCGTGTCAGGTGCTCCCTGTGTAAAGGGGAGCTCAAGCTCAATTTGTTGTGTTCTTTTAGTGTTAGATCAATTTATAAAAAAAGAATTCATGGCTTTCACTTAGTTTCTATCTTTGGTGGTTTTCTCTCCACTAGCTTTAAGTGAAAAGAAATTCTTTTCCTGGCTGTCAGAAAATGAGCACGTCCTAAAAACCAGAGCTGAGGAAGAAGCACGCTGGGCTGGGCTGAGCTGGCTGCCTGCTCTGCCAGGGAGCACTGGGAGCTCACTCCTGACCAGCTTTCCCTCCTACAGCCCCTTGTTGTTGTGCTCTGCAGCACAGCCCTGGCCCAGGAGAACACCTACACCTCCTTCACGAGCACAGCCAGGACTCAGGGGTTCACACAGCCTGCAGACCATTCAGCACCAGCCTCACCTGAAAGGCAAATGCAGTGGCCAAGCCCATCTCCAGGCCTGACACTTGGTCACTCTCTGCACACATCAGAGCTCTGTTCATTTAGCAAATTCAGTTCAACCTTCCTATTTCACACTTTTCTTCTTTTCCTGAGGGAAATGCTTGAGTTTCACCTGAACAGGATTTTCTCCAGTAATTAATTTTATTTTTTTAATGGAATAAGAATTTTAAGAGTGACATGTTGATGTGAACCAGGTTAACACAACCCCACTAGCATCACTCAACAAGTGAAGAGCCTGGTGAAATCAGAAAAGCTGTTCTCCAACTTCTCCAAGAACTGCACACCCAATGAACTGAAAACACTGCTGAGTGTTTCATGTCAAACCTGAGTTTTGTGCAGCTGATGCTAACCTGAGGACTAAGTTTTCCTAGGAGGAAGTAAAGAGAATTCACTCTTCAAAGATTCCCATTAACTACGTGTCACCAGTTCATTCTGAACTCTCTTTTTCAGAGGCAGAAGCTGTCACTCATCTCAGACAGCTGGCTCCTGCAGCAGCACCACCTCACCAGGAGACATGAGACCACCTCACATTCTCATGTTAGCCATCTTCCAGGGCCTGGCTCTTTCATCTACCCACTGTAACATAACTCACAGTTGTACTGGAATTCCACTTGGAATAAATAACAAAATTAAGACTGACTGTTTAGAAGTAAGTACTGAAACTTCTTCTCTACTGCTACATTATTAAAATATGCTTCAACTGTTAAAGGGCTCCTAAAAATCCATTGACTACACTTATTCCTACTAGATTCTAGGGATTTTATTATCATTTCCAACATATTTTAGAATAAGTAAAATTTATTTCATGTTTAGCTCTATGTTGTTCTTCCTGAAGATTCTCACCTACTACAAACACTTAAATTCAGTCAGCTAAACCTGCTGAGTTCCCTCACAACAGTCTCCCAAAACACTAGAGGCAATGAAGCCAAGAACAGCAGCATGGACCACCACATATGTAGGTATTTCAAGTTCTGAGGCAACAAATTCCATAATGTGACTTTTGTATTAAAAAGAATCTTTTTGAACAAGCTTACACAGCACAAAGAAACACCTAAACTGCATTTAGGTGTAATTCACTATTTGTCTGTGGTACAGGGGTGTTCATCTCGACTCCAAGTTGTGTTCTTCTGTGGACCAGAAAGACACAAAAAGCATCAGAGGATCACCTCATTTAGCCTCCACCAGTTCTGGGGTTTCAGTCTCTCCTCTCAGCCTGACACAGACCACCAAGTAGTGGTAGTTATGGTAACAACATAAAAACCACCTCCTCTGCCTCTTCATGGTTTAATTTCACTCAGTTCCCCACCTACCCCCAGGTATTTAGTGGGTGCTCTGACTGAACTCAGCTGTTCACCTGGTTATAGAACAGCAGATGTTTGTTTTGGCAGAAGCAGAGGATACTAAATGTGCTAACAAACAACTGAAGGGTCCTCCAGAAACAAGCAGCAAACCTCTGCCATGCCCCAAGGTAGCCTTTAAGGTCATAGTTAAGTGCAAGTGTTCCATACTTCTTAGAAAAGGGTTTTTTTTAACCACAATTTTAGCCTCCATTGCTGAGTATCAGAATCTTCTGTTCTTCCCTAGCCCAAATGTGTTGAAATACTACAACAGAGCAGGGCACAGAAGTCAATGTGAAATTAAGTCCTCCAGTCTCCTCGCCTTGACAGCTTTGGTTTGGATTATTCTGCCACTTTTCTTGAAGTCCTAAGATTTCAAGGCTTTAATCAAAGATCATCTTTAAGGTGGCACTTTATTAATTATTTCTGCATGGTGATTAACTCTGGAAATAAACCAAACCCTCTACAAGGCAAAAGCTTGTTCTGTAAGCAGGACTCTTCCCCAGTGAACACCATCATCCGTGGCTGGCTTTGTACCCAGGGCCCTGGGAGCTGAGGAGGTGACTCTGAGCAGGCTGCTGCAGGAACTGGCAGCCAAGGCAGACCAGAAGCCCAAAACAGCAGCCTGACTGAGCTGCAGATTGCTGAGGATTGTCCCTAAAGCCTCCTCCTTGCTTCAGTCCCCAGATGAGCTGAGCTGCACTCCAGCCATGGAGCAAGCAGGGTATGTAATGCTTGGCTGCTCCAAGCAGCACCATGGACACACTCCTGGTGAGTTCCTTCCTCCACCATTCCCATCTGCAAGCTCTTGCAGCATGAGCAAGAGAATGATTTAGCTTTAAAATGCATTTCTTTATTCATGCACCAGTTAGACACTTTCAAGAAAAGACTAGTTGCATGTTTTTTGAAGGCTTTCTTTGTACAATGTCTAAACAAAAAAATACCAGAGTTGTTTTATTAATTGAAGAGAAAAATGTAATGCAGAGGTAACTTTAAATATTCTTGTGCACCAAAAACCAGAGCAAGCAACTCCAAGTCTTCTCTAAACTAAAAGAAAAAAACAAAAAGCAAACCCAATCAGTCTAAGTATTGTCCTTCCTCTAGAGGCAGCTTCACACTTCCAGGACAGTGTGCTATAAAAATCAGCCAATTTCAGCAATCATCTCCCAGACAGAATTACTTTAGTAAGTGCAGTGATAGTACCTGTGCTCATTTAATGCACAACCACACTCCAACCAGCCCTTTCAAAGCTTACTCACTATTTACTAAGGAGAAAATCTAACAGCAGTGCCTCTTGCTGGCTCGGTACTCCGTGAGGAACTCTGGTGTCTATCACAGCTGATCCTTTACCAGAGTTACAGGATCTGTTTTGCAATTTAAAACTGCAAAGAAAAAGGCCTTCCAAACAGCAGTACTTCTTGCTGGCTCAGACACCAGAGTTCCTCACGAAGTACCATCACATCTGATCCTTTACCAGAGTTACAGGATCTGTTTTGCAATTTAAAACTGCAAAGAAAAAGGCCTTCCATAACCACAGATTTCCCTGCATAATGTCCTTCAGCTACTGAGTGATCTCAATGTATTCTCCAGATGACTTCTAAAATTATGTAACAGAACTTAATTACTATTCCTCTACAAAAGGACTTATATCTGTCACATTTATTTTTATGCATATTTCTCTGTAGTTTCTCCCATCATTAAAATGTGTATTTCTCTATCCCTTCCTTCAGGCCTCTTTCCTCAACAGTGCAAATCTTGATGTACATGAGCACAACTCCAAACACGTGTATCAGATCTAGCACCAGTCTGTCACCCAGCACCCACAATTTTGGGTTTTCAGTCTTGTTGATGGCATTACATGAACTGGGAAGGGTGGCACCATGTACCACAGCTCCCTCTCACAGCACAGGCTCCCATGCCCTGAGTACATTGCCTAAATGTGGCTCTTATTTTTGTTTCCTTATTATGTGTCACTTTGCCTCTAGCTACTGGAATCCTCCTCCCTTGCTGCAACCTTCATTTATACTAAAGCCAGGTATGGAGATTTTACAAACCTCTGCAACCTTCTTCCTTCTCTCATATCTTCATGTAGTATTAAAATCAGATAGATCAGCTTCCATCCCAAAATATTCTCCTAGTTTAAGGAGACTCCACCCTCAGGGGAGTGAGAGGGAGTGTCCCCAGAGCAGAATTTAAAGCCTCTAAGTTTCACATCTAGCTAATCCTTAAATAATCAATTGATATTTATTATATTACCATGAAAAATTGTATGGAAAAAATAATCAGCTTGGCCTCCATCTTTTTAAGCAACTTTCCTTACCTTGGCATCACCATATTTTATTCATGCAAACAGAAATCTCACAGTATTATTTCCTTTTGTTCTCTAACAAGCTACCAGCAAACTCCTCACTGTTCCTTACAGCTTAGAGCCCAAGTCCCACATCCTTAACTCTGACAAATGGCATTCCTTCCTAATTTCTGCATTTGCTTTAACAACATCTCTTGCTGCTTATTAATAATCCCACGACACAAAACTGCCCCTTTCTGCCACAGGTACAACTCTCCAGACCTTCATGTTCCTTACCAAAACAAAGTAAATAAAAGATGAGCATGGCACATTATGGCTGTTCTCTTCACACAGCAGAGAACTGTTCTTGTGCAAACCCTTGCAGGGGACAGAACAATACAAAGGTTATGACAACTACACTGAAAAGTTACAAAAGTCTTAGGCTTCTTCCCAGAAGAGAAGGGACAATGTTAAATATAAGCAATTTCAACTCCTAGCACACAAAGCAAGTGACTGCTAACATAAACCTAAAGCAATTAAAGTCTTTAAGACCCAATCACACCTAAGTAATTTGTATATAGGAGCAGAACCCCTCCTTTGCATAGAGCATGCTTAAGGTCAGCACTTCAAGATTCTACTGAAACTAAGAAAAGCAGCAGGAAGGGAACTGTTTGTGGAAACTTTCTGTATATTCTAAGAAACACAAAATAACCAGAGCTTGTCTCTTTCATTTAGGCACCGCTGGGGATGTCACCAGCCCAGAGACAGGTGAAAAGAGCAGAATTCAGTATTTTAAGTTCCAGAAGAGCTCAAATCCTTGCCTACCTGATATGCCGTTCTTGCTGGTGTTCAATAAAGCTACAGATGCTGCCGAGACTCTTTTATTATTCACAGTCTGCCCTGGTTTCCTTGAGGTACATTCTTCGCTATCGCTGTCCTGTAGATTTAGCAGCCTTGGCTGAAAACACTGCAGTCGACATGATCTGATATTGCTTAGGATTTCAGAAAGGGACAGTCTGTTTTCACAACGTCTACTGGAAGCATTGGTCCGTGAAAAATTAGAAGAAAAGTCTAAAGTCTGGGAAGAGCTTGAAGAACTGTTCAGCATTTCCGGGTCTATCTGTCTCAAGACAGGATCGTGTTCTGTGGATATTCGGTCCATTATAACCCTGAGGAAAGAGGATGAAGAACAGACATTAACTAGGATGCTTTTTAGCCTCTGAAGGGGAAGGAGAAGTGAAAAACCACAGAGCCTTACCTGCCACCCCTGCCAATCCGTCTCCTTGCGAACCCTATACACCTCCTGGGAATTGTAAGGGTTGTAAGGCAATGCCTGAACCTCAGTTTGTCCAATTCTGCCAATTCTGAGTTTTCATAGGAAGAATTAGTTTGGTCCAAACGAGGCTGCAAAAAGGCCATTTCACATTCAGAGGATATGCTTTGATCAGATCGCTACTAAGCAGTTATCATGCACAGGTCAGAGTACAGAAAATGCTGAAAATGCCCACAGAATTGTCACCTGATTAACACATTCAGATCACAAAAAGAACTTGGAAGATTGTTTTTAAAAAACACATTAAAATCCTCTTTCCTTGATAAGTCATAAAACTAGATGCCAAAATGTGCAAGCCAGAATTCATTCTACCAAGAAAATTCTACCATAAGAGCTGCTGTCTGTAAAAATGAGTTTATGAAAAGTAACTGATAAAAATACCTCAAAACTACATGAACAACTCCAGTGCAAAGTATCACACTACAGAAGAATATTAGAAATATTCTGAAATGTCTTGTATGACAAGTTAATAGATGTTCATTAAAATAATTAATCATTAGTGCTGTAGGTTCAACAAGGTTATGTTAAGAGGCAACCAAAACTCAAATGGCTTCAGTAGCTACCAAACCCCTAGAAGGCTATCATTAAGGCTGGCAAACAAGCTGCTCCTAAACAGCAACATAAAAATAACAGAAGAATGAAAACAGATTTTTTCATTCATCTCAACCTCCTTTGGAAAAGGAATTAACTTACAGGTCTAGAATTATCATTTTTTGATTAGCCTGAGCTGGGCAAGGAGCTTCCCACAGTACCTGTGGGAGAAGCCCATGCACAATCCCAGTGTTCTGGGGGCACCTGGGCTCCTGAAAGAGCTGGCCTACTGCCCAAAGGACCTCTCCTGAGTGGCTTTAAAGGCTACACATTATTGAGTAGTTCTTCCCATGGGAAGTGAGCAAGGAAAAATCAGCCCCACTGCAGTGCTGTGTTGCCTTGCCTGGTCCTCTGCAGCCTAAGGCTCCACAGATGTAAAAAACCATCACTGTTGTTAGTTCTGAGACCATGACAGACATCTGTAATCAGTCTCTGTCCTCTGCTCTTTCTGCCACCTGCAACTTGCTGTTTTTCAACAGATCTACAGCCTGCACTGATTTCAAAAGAGAACTCTGACTTAACTGTATGTAAAAAATCCTCAATTTACAAAACCAGCCAACATCCAAGCCCCACCCCACCACACCCAAGAGCAGCCTTACAGCGTAATACTGGCATCCTGCTCTCCTCCTGAAGGCACAGGGTCCATCAGGATCATTTTCTTCTTCTGCCTCCGACACCGGTGAGGGTACCTAGACCAGAAAGCAAAGTCATTCCTCCAGCTGCCAGCTTTACATGACATACTTTGATTTATTAATTATAGAGGTTTATATGAGATGAACTGTCACATTTATATTTTAGGGGCAAGCTTCTCTGAAGCACAGCCCAGAATCAAAACTCAGAGGTTATGCAAGTGCCTTTTCTGTGTATATCCACTGTCCAAGGGAGGAGCTCTCTGGTTCCTGCTGGACAGGCCAAACTGTGCTTGGGACTGTGTCCCAGGGTGTTACCTGTGGGAACTCATCCTCATCCGAGCTGTGGAAGTCGTACTGTTTGATGTCACTCTTGCTGATCATGGGCAAGGGCTCGGCCGAGGGCTGAGGAGTTACCACACACTCCATTTTAGGCTTCTTCAGGTACTTCTTCTTCTGGCGTACGACATCTGACACATCCTCCTTCAGAGAGGAATGGTGAGGATGCTGTGTGTGAAAAACACAGAATTAAAGTGTACAGTAATTAACCTTTCCTCTTCCCATGCCTTAAGAGACTGACTGCTCACCCTCCAAAGCCTCTCCACATGCAGCACCTGCAGACTGTCTCAGGCACATAATGCAAAGTTAATTCAAAGCATTTAAAAACCCAGAATTTGACCTCTGATTGTCTTTACAGATATTTTTTCATAAACAAACAGGAAGCTTTCTAGCCACATGACCACCTAAGAGCTTCCTTGCTCTGCAGTACATGCAGCATCTTGTAATTGGAAATCCTACTCCCAATTACTTTTTGAACTCCCAGTTTTCTACTGCAGGCACTTTCAATTTTCTGAACTGCTCAGATATGCTCAGAAGAAACCATCTAATTTGCTTCATTTCATGTTTCTCAGGCAGTTTATATTTTTGAAAAGATATGGTATTTGGTATTGCTGTTTAAGATTTTGCTAACACACCCTTGGTAGTAAGCAACTCCATCAATATTAAACTGTTCAACAGCAATGCTGTTAAACTTCAAAGCTTTTGCATTAAAAGGAGAGTACTTCACTTGAAAAATTCTCAATTACAAGTAAGAAGAGTCAGTGCAGTTTTGAAAAAAGGTTTAAATTTTCCCCAAATTCCATTGGTATTGCTATTTAAGATTTTGCTAACAAACCCTTGGTAGTAAGCAACTCCATCAATATTAAACTGTTCAACAGCAATGCTGTTAAACTTCAAAGCTTTTGCATTAAAAGGAGAGTACTTCACTTGAAAAATTCTCAATTACAAGTAAGAAGAGTCAGTGCAGTTTTGAAAAAAGGTTTAAATTTTCCCCAAATTCCACTTATTGATATTTAAGTGTCTGACAAACTGACTCCAGTAATGGAGCTCAGCTCCCTAACCCCAGATGAGTAACACAGGGCAGAACAAAACTCCTGTGTGAGACCCGAGGCAAGGGACTTGTGTTAAATTCTGTCACCACAAGGTGTCGTGGGTGCTAAGTACAAATTTCAAAAGGTCTGCAGCTCTCCAGCCTAACATCCAAACATTTTAGAACTACTAGGATTTAGGTTATTTCCTCAAAAACACATCCTAATTCCAAGTCAGGTGCAGATTTTCTCCTGTCACAGTACCAGTGGAACACCAGGTTTGATCTTCCTCCACTGCACTCAGCTCAGTGAGGTAAGTATTATGATGACATTAAAATGGCTTGCAGTGGAACCTTGGCTTTTGGGTTGGTTTGAAAACATGACCTTCCAATATATGTTTAAAAGCAAAGACACCTCCTAAGAAGTATAAAAGACTGTTAAGGCTTAAGGAACTTTTAAAGGAGTCACTACATGACAAAGGAGAAGCAATACAAGGAGACAATCATTTGCAATAACACAATTATACCAAGATTGGAAGCAGTTTATTTTGCAATTAATGCCCATATTAACTGCAAAAAACAAAGAGTCCAAAACCTTATACCTAAGCAGTGAGTTTACAAACATTACCCCAAGATGGACACACTTGTCAGTGCTGCTGCTTACACCCCTACTACTGTCCTTCATTTCATTCTACCAGGACTGCACGTCACCAGAACAAAGTCATAGCCATGGCTAACTAGGAACCTCCAGAAGAATAAGTGGGTTTAGACTCTTTTGCACAGATGTAAGGACTGTCCTTGTAGGAGGGTTGTCATGAGCATACAAAACATTTCAACCTGATTCAGTACCAGATCTGAACATGGACAGAAGGCAGATTCCCTTTGATGTATTTTTTTTTTTTTAATGGAAAAAGTTTCTTCATGAAATAAGAAAAAGAGAAAACCACTAACATTCAGCATTTCTAGCTATGGATTATTCCTATATTACTGCTTCTCAGGCTATTACTAACAAGGTCAATCACAAAAATAACACTAGACCCATTTGGCTTCTGTACAGATTTAAGAACATGTAAAGGGAGATGTTGTCAAAGCAGCACTAAGTAAGCTCCCAAGTTGAGCCACTCTTTCTTCCACCTTCCTGTGTTGGCTGCTCACCTAACTCTGAGGGCCAAGCAGCAGCAGATAAAATAACACCTACTGAGCATTCCTGAGAACAGGCCTCAGGAATGACCAACTCCTACAAGTACTAAGTACTCTTTAAAACATGAGTTGCTTGCAACTGTTTTCAGCTGTCAGTAAGATAGAACAGTTGCATCCTTTGGCCTGGAAATATTCCTAATCAAAGACTACTTCAACAGCTCAGAATAGTTTCTAGAATTCTTTGGCACTCCAGCTGTAACTCAGTAAAATCCTGTCTTTCCAGGATTGTCTTTGCACTGAGGAGAAGTAACTCACTCTCCTTGGCAATGTGATGGAGTCCCAATGCCCACTCAACATGCTCATGTTTACATCACCTTACAAGGAGACAGAACTGAGAGGGGAAACCAGCCCTATGACAAGGTGCTGTTTGAACACAGACAGCAAGGCCACCACTCCTTTCAAAACTCAGGTGGGAAAGACAACAAACATTAAACTGGAAGCAAGCACACCAGTCTGCTGGTCCCCTATCTTCAAGTACAGTAGCATCCTACTCCATTTTCCAACACAAACATCTGCTGGGTACAGCCAAAAGAATGATGAAAGACACTGGCAGCAGAAGACAGCTTACCTTAACTTTACATTCTTGAACTTTGTGATGGTTTCCATTGTGAAGAGTGGATGGAGTTGTGCTCATCTCTTTTTCAGGTCTATTAAGCTTCACTTCATTCAGAATTTCACCTCCATAATCACCCAAATGATACCTTAAAAAAAAAAAAAAACAATTAAAAATATAGTGCTGCGTTTCCACTGGGAAACGTTTGAAAGACAGAAACCAGGCAAAGAGTCTGCACAAAACCCTTCTAGCTCCTCAAGTTCATGGTGCTACCTCAGTCTCCAGCCACACACAAGCACAGAAGACTAGGACTGTATTATAAATGGCTTCTTACAGATGTACTTTGCAATTTTACCTTTTCTCAACAACTTCTAACGTTAGATGCAACAGCTCGCGCTTTGTTTTCTCTCTTCTCTTGATCATCTCCAAGATTGTTATGGCTCTGCTGAACTCTCTTCTTAACTTCAACATCTTCTCATAAGACGCTTCATCATTCTTTCGGTTCTGTTGAAAGATTAAACAAATTGTCAGTTGAAAGCAAAACCTGTGAGGCATAAAGTTACATAATGCTGCTGCCAAGTGAGAATCAAACAAGTACCCTCAGAAGCAGCTTTTCCTGAAGCATAACCTAGCTGGTAAACAAAACCACAAAAGGCAAACAGAAACCAGCTATTAAGTAAGTGGAAAAAACTTTTCAGCCATTCCACCCCGTGCTTTGTCTGCTCAGGTTGAACCCAGTGGAAGTTCAGAACAAGGAATTCAAGACTTGGCTCCTACAATGGGTTTTCCACCTTGACTCTGCACATAACAGGTCACGTAGGGATGTGCACAGAGCTGATGTAAAATGCTGAGTGACTGCAGACTTCCTGCTTCACACTACAAATACAGAAACTGAACTGCTTTACTCCATGGCAAGTGGAAGGTTTAGTGGTCGTGGCAGTGTTGGGTTGATGGCTGGACTTGATGATCTTAAAGGTCTTTTCCACGCTTAATAATTCTGTGACTCAGAGTGACAGATTTAGAACAGTGAAGCTTGGAGTGTTACCTTTCTTGTCTGCATCTTCTCAGTTCTCCTCCGGAAGGCAACGTAGGGGTCGTTGTTGGTGGAGCCATCCCTCTTCTCCTGCTTGATCTGGGGGATCAGAGACGGCCCTCTGCAGTTCTTGCGCTTTCTCACCCAGTAGTCATACACAGCCTTAATAAGGTAGTCATCCTCATTTAGCAGCAGCTTAGCTTCCTGAAGTGTTACAAGCTGGAAGAGGAAATGCAGAAGGTGCAAGTGAGAAGGGGGTGGGGTGGCAGTGGAGGGAGAAAGGCACCGTGCAGTCATAACTCTTGTACACCTTCCAAATAAATTCAGTTCTTTTCTAGTACAAGAAAGTAAGGGGAGGGAAAACTGATTATCAATCTGAGCTGAAGTACTGAAGCCACCAGCTGGCCTTCCCCAGTTAAATAAACATTTCCCAACTTCTCTGAACCAGCAGCATCATCTCTCAGAAACTTTCACACACTAGTCTAGAACTCCATCAATTTTTCCATGAAATCTGAAAACACTGTATGAAACAATTGCAAGCACAGGCTATAAATAACTTACTACAGTCTCTAGATCATGACTTGGGATTCACTTCAATTGGACTATTTTTTTCCTAAAAAAAGTAAGTTTCTTATTGGTTAGCCATTGTGAATGTATGATCCTTTGCAGTTCAAGTCCAATTCCCCTAAAATATATTTTACTGAAGACAGACTATATTTTGAAGTGAACTAGGTTCTTAATTTTTCCCCAGAAAAATTTACTTAGGGATGGTCTTTGTCCTTTTCTATCACAGTTTATTAAAGCCCAGAGACACAAAGACTTTCACTTCTTAGGTAAGCTATTTCAGTAGGAGGTATTTAATTACCTGTGTTTAACTAACTTTTTTTCTCCTTTTTATATGGAAAATAGACTCTAAATAAATGCACACCCCATCACTAATTGGTACATTAGTTTAATATGTTCATGTAACCTTAAACCCATGCACTAAAAAGAAAATAGTGAATCCAGTATTACTTAAAACAGAAGTTGGACAGTGCTTCACCTTCCCCATAACAAAAAAAAAGCCATAAAAACAGCTTGCTTGTTTTTGTGACTACTACCAGCAGCGTGGAGGCAGAGTCCTCACATTCCTTGCTTAAATCATGTTATTCAGGAGAAACTTCTCTGCCTGGAGCCCTCTCCCTGCTGAGGCCAGTGTTCCCACCAGCATCCCTTTGCACTTCAGAGGTGAGTCATGGAAACTGTACAAGAATTGTGTAGCAGCCCCCCGTGGGATTCAAGAGCACTGTAACCCCATGTGGGGAAGGAATCTGCCAGGCAGCCAAGCTCCTTTCTTTCCCAGGCTCCAAAAACCTGCAAGAGTTGTTTTTATCGTACCACTCCTAACACAGGGCTACTCAACATCAGCTGAAAACTTTCTGTAGTCCAAAGGCAGGACAAGGAGCCTGAACACACACACTGCAGTCCCTCAAGTTAGGCAGAAAATATGGGGGACACGAAGTCCCATAGAAATTTCATCTGTAAAGAGGGATTTCTCCTCACACACCTCACCTTCAAGATGAAGCTTATGTTGTAAGAGCTCTAAGAATCAATTACAATGCTTCACATACACATAAGATCTTTTCTGTCATGGACTTCCTTAAATAAGCACTTTCTGGTTCAAAATACTCTTCACTTCTGTAATGCTTCAGTGTTACTGACACTTAATGGAAAGATAAAGGGGCAGCTGCCCACAGAGAAAAATCCATATCCTTATATTTTAGCAAAACATCTTTCAGTTCTTAAATGTAACTTCATTACTCCAGCAATGAAAGATGAAACCAGCATAAGGATGTAAATGAAGGCTGGAAAGTGATAACCAGAACTGCCTTCACTGGAAGCCAAAACAGGGACATCTACCTCAAAGCTCTCAGACCCAAGTGCCACATGTTCAACAAACAGCACCAATGTACTCTGCACTTTTTTTCTTCACTTGCCTGTCAGCATCTGATCCTTCACATGTCATTTCTGAGTAATTTAAGACCCTTCTCCAGACATCAGCCTCCTGAATACCTCAGGAACTTACTACTAAGATACCAGTAGCCTTCTGATAAAATAAACAACTAAATAATACACATGCTTGCCTGTAAAGCAAGGAGCCCAGCCTCCCAGTCTGAACTGGAGTAGAACTTTTTTGCATCTGTCCCATTTCTCTTACAAGGGCCCAATCCTAACAAATGCTTTGCTTCACTGTCTATGCTCCTAAGTTTCCAACCTTCAAACATCAAATGAAGTCAACGCCCACTAGTAAACACAGAATCTGGATTCTCATATAAGTTTATAGCCAAACCTGTGCACCTACCAATCACCACAAGCTTCTTCCATACCAACACAAGTAAAACAAGATGTTTTAAGTTGTCCTAACAAATTGTGGCCAAGAATTAAAATAGAAACAGGTGGCAGGGAGCTTTTGGGGGGAGTTGTTTTTCAAATAACTTACCAATATTGACAGTAAGAACGTGATTTCTGTATAACTGCAGACTCTCAAAACACACTAAGCATGTTACTAGAAAATAAACTGAAAATCAGAAAAGCTCAGAGATGGAGCAGGATATGTTACCTGACTAGAACTGGCTTTTTCAAGTCTGTCCACCATGATTTCGAACTGCAGCGGCTTAATTTCCATCTTCCTGTTCAGTCTGTTCAGCAAGGTCTCATCCTCAGAGTCCATGTCGTAATCTGGCTGCTCGTTGTCCAGATTAAAGGCTGAAACAAAAATATACATGCACCAAAAAAAATTAAAATGCTTGGTAGAGAGCATAGAATGGGAACACAGCAGTGTGCCCATCAGGAACCAGTGAGGGGCAAGCTGCAGATGAGCACGACTCTGCCAGAACACTCCTTTTAATGCTAAAGTGTTTTACCATAAGACAGCTGCTGGACAGCAGTTAGAAGTTGATTGTCTCTGACTTACAATAGGAGTGGAATCCAAAAATTTTCCTTTTAAGTTGCTTGAAGGGGGGACAGGCAAAAAGCTTAAGTTTAAAAAAGCACCATAGAAGCACAGGAGTTTGAATGTACCCTTGTAAAATGAGCAACACGTGCAACAGCAAAAATTCTTAATATGAAACATTAATTGTACCTAATGAAACCCTGAAGAGGTAAAACTATCTACAACACTCCAAATAACTCCATCAGCAAATGACTGTATTTACAGCAGTGAAGCCTTGTTAAAATGTATTCTAGACTAATATCTTTATGCTCTTAACTCACAGCTCTGAGCACTATCTGCAAGAAAATCTCTGCTACTGATCTTCCCCGTGTGCTTTGAGAGGACCTCAAAAACTTGGAAGACTGGGGCAAAGGAAAAGTGCTAAAAAAAAATCCACTTTACAGCAAATTATAGTATTGCCTCTCTCAGAAGAGAGAGTGTTTGACCATACTAACCCTGACAACACCACTTGGTCAGAAGGTTTCTCTGTGTAAACACGCTCTAAAAATGTATTTGAAAAAGAAATTGATAATGGGCTGCAACTATGTGTTAAATGAAATTACTAATAATATTAATTCAATAAAGTTACTGTGCAGTTTCTATTAAGACACTGTTATTGGGCATGTGACCCACAGCTCTTAACAATTAACAACGGTGTATTAACTTCCACTACAGCTTACAACATTGGATCCTGCCTCTCCAGCAGCAGCCTGGAAGAATCAGAGGTTTTGAGAGAAAAACTGACCCAGATTTTGTTTTTTAAATTCACAGTTCTGTGAAACCGCATAAAACACATCACCAGGCAGGACCAGACACTTGAGAGGAGAGTGTCCCAGTACCTGGGGGGAATCAGAGGTTTTGAGAGAAAAACTAACCCAGATTTTGTTTTATTAAATTCACAGTTCTGTGAAACTGCATAAAAAACATCACCAGGCAGGACCAGACACCTGAGAGGAGAGTGTCCCAGTACCTGGGGTGAGTGCCCAGGTCCTGTGCAAAGAGCTAAAGAGGCAGTGACTAGCCAAGTGTCAGTGATGGAGCTGACCAAGCCTGCCACACACCAGCTGCAGCCCCCAGGAGCTCTGCTCCAGCTTCTCTGGGGGGTGCCAGCAGAGCCACAGTGTGCTGGCACCAACAGCACATCACATTGGCCAGACACTGAAATGGGGTGAACTGTCCCACCTGAGCTGTGACCCCCACACTGCTCCACTCCACCTTCTGATCCTGGACAAAGCTCCTCTCTCACAGCACTGACTGCTGCTCAAGTGGGGGCTGAGTAGATCTGGCTCCAACTGTTGTTATTCCCTGGAGATTCAAAACTCTTCAGAGCTCTCCCACAGCAGTCCAGCCTTGGCAGCTCAGCCTTATCCCACAGAACAGTGCCCAATCTTGCCCTGTCCTCCACTGCAATCTGTAACCCAATGACCTCTTAACCATAAACTGCCACTTTCACCAGTAAGGAAATTGCACAAGTTTCCCCTGCCCCAAGACCAGCCCCAGAGCCTACAAAAGCATTACAGTCCTGATCCCTGTAACAGAAGATGTGATGCTGTCCACCCACAAATTGTTAAGCAGCACCAGGAAACTTGTAAACACCTCCACAAAGAGGAAAGTTGTTACTGCAGTTCCTGAACCATGCACCCTCCTGAACCAAATCAGGCTCAGGAAAGATGCAACTAGCAGGAGACACCAAGACTAGCAGGAAGTAAAGAAAGCCCAACCATTCTGTCAATGAGCAACTTACAACCACAGCATGGTTTGGTTTGGAAAAGACCTTAAAGATCATCTGGTTCCATGGGCAGAGACACCTCCCACTAGAGCAGGTTGCTCAGAGCCACATCCAACCTGGCCTTCAACACTTCCAGGGATGGGACATCCACAGCCTCCCTGGGCAACCTGTTCCAGTGGTCACCACCCTCACAGTGAAGAAGGAGGCTAAAAGACCAACCATCCTCAGGAACACGTTCTGGGTATTACTGATGGGAAGGCCAGATCTCCAACTCAAGTAGAGAAGGCAGGTTCCTGCACCACCAGTGTCTGAAGGGACTCCATGGTGCTCCCCAGCTGAGAGCAGGGGAGTCCCTCCCACCCCCTGCTCACTGTTAGCAAGTTGAGCCAGTTCCCAGGGGTGTCCAGTGAGCATCAGAACCAGTTCAAGACACACAGAGGCACAGGCAACCAGAAGTGGAATAAGGAAGAGAGGTGGAACCTCCCCTTCTGGCTGTTACATTGGCTCACCTGCCCCTGTGAGCCACTGGCTCAGTAACATGTCAAGTCCACTTAATTCCATACACAGGTCTAAATGATGTGCTGGTGAAACATCAGCTCTCTCAGCATTTTGAGACTTCATGAATAGAAAATCAAGTGCTGAAAAACTGGAAAATGGGGGAAAAAAAACCTCACCTGTCATCACTAAAAAAAAAACGAACCCAAAACTACATGCTGCACTTCAACTCTACAAAAATATTTTGACAAATAATCAAGATGACAAGATAAAAAGGTACCCAACATGTAGTTGCCAGGAACAAGTTACATTGAATTAAGCCAGTCTCATTTCCTTACACAAAGATACAGCAGTAGCCCTCATCATATGTCCTGCTCTGTACCTTCCAGTACCACTCCTCTTTCACTAGCCAGGTTTCTTGTGCCATTTGCCACCATCTGCAGCTGTCCATACCACTCACTTCCAAAGGAAGGGGCTTCATGCAGAGGCTGCAGGTTGTAGACAAAGCACTGGGAGCAGTACTTGCCCTCTACCTCTGGTTTCAGGGCAGACAGGAAGGGCACAAGGCCCTGGCAGCCTGGGGAGGTGTGGAAACACAAAGCTACCACTCTTCCTTTCTCTGCTCCATGCAGTCCTAAGGAGTGACCAACCCCACAGCTCTGGGACACTCATGGAAGTGTCTCCCCCTTCCCTGAAGTTCACCTACCACTGCCCACTGAAACACTTCCAGTGACATCCTTCACCACCAGTTTTCTTCTTTTCCCAGGCACCGAGTGACCTGTCCTGTTCCAGAAAAAGCCATGTCTCAGCTCAGAGCTGGCTGCCAGCACAGCAGCTCGCTGGCCTCAAAAGCCACCAGAGCACACAGGAGGTTTATGTGCCGAGTGACAGAACCATCCATCACCACCCTCTGCTTCTGCCCCTGCCACAGCAGCTGGCAGAACCGCCGGCTCAGGCCCACACGGGCTCGTGCAGGATGAGCCTGAGCCACAGAGAGCACGGCACTGCAGACACCCTGTGACTACCTGGTGGCTAGTGAATAACCAGCCAACCACATCCCCATCTCCACCCCTGCCACTGCTCCCACTCCCCACGGCCGTACCCGCCAGGAGGATTCGCTTTGCTTTATTTGAGCTCCCCTAGGAGCTGAGCTTACACTAACTTACAGAAAAGCAATTTGGTTTTAAGTTAGATTAAATTGGGTTTAACTTAACTAAATTAACTAATTTCATTTAGCTAACTAAATTAAGGCTGTGGTTGCAGTCATTTTAAGCTGACACAGGCGTGAGTTACCACTGGAAGAAGTGGTTCCACCGTCTTCCCTCCCAGCAAGCCACATCCCCAGCACGTTCCAACCTGTGCCAACACCAGCAGTCGTGCCATGAGCCAGGACAAAGCTGACAGTTACAGAGGTTCACCTGACCAAAAAAGTGGAAGATAGGCTTCCTGCCAGGCCACTTCCCAGAGCTAACTCACTCGTGACACAACGGCCACCAGAAAGGCACTGGCAGTGAGGAAGGAGTGAGCAGCACCGATCCTGAAGGCAGCAGATACACCAGTGCTGAGCAGGAGCAAATGGGGAACCACATCACAGCTATTACAGCCAAAGCACTGGAACACCACCTCAGTGGCAAGCTCCTGACTGAACAGAGCTCCCCACCCACCCAGGGATACCTCAGAGGGGAGGTTTCCCTCAAACATCCAGTGTAAAAGATAGGTATGTAAACACTGGTATGTAAATACCCAGGCTGCAAGGCACAGCCTGGACAGATCCTGCTGCAGCAGCCTCTAAAAATCACACAATGCTTTGGGTTAGAAGGGACCTCAAAAGGTCAACTAGTCCAACCACCCTGCACTCAGCAGGATATCCCCAACTAGAGCAGGGTGCTCAGAGCCCCATCAAGCCTGACCTTGAGTGTTGCCAGGGATGGGGCCTCCACCACCTCTCTGGGCAGCCTGGGCCAGGGTCTCACCACCCTCATAGTGAAGAGCTTCTTCCTAATGTGTAAGCTACATTTCCCCTGCTCCAGTTTAAAACCACTGCCCCTCATCCAACCACTTCACACCCTTGTAACCAGTGCTGCCCCAGCTCTCCTGCAGGCCCCAGTGTGGAACACAAACATGAGGAGCACAATGACTAAAAAATGGCCAACCCTTGACACGTGAAACAAACACACTCCACTTTTTTTTTTAAAATTTAAAGAGTGACTACAGTTCACCCCACACAACTTAATGGGAGATTATCTAACTATACCTGAACAATGTGATGAAGCATTAGTTAGGTATCATTGCCCTTTACATACACACACAGCTAAAACACATATATATACACATTCATAAGACATTTTTTGCTCCATTCTTACTGTTTCTGTTATGTCCACTTCTTATGTCCACTTAGCTACAATTCTGGCACAGGTACAAGTGTAGTAACTTACTCTCTTTGCTGCATATTAATAAACTTCAACTGTTTCTCCATGTTACTGAAACTACAAACATTCCTGGAAAATTATTAAGCATACTGGAACAATTAGAATAGTTCAAGGCTTTTTGTTTTATAGTCAAAGTCACCTGAGTTGGCACTACCTGGGACAACTACCTGGAATTATGCTTATGCACAAATTCCACACAAAGAAATTAACTCTTCTCTCCTTGGAACCATTGGTCTAAATTAAAAAATTATACTGGTAAAGTTAAAAAGAATGAAACTCCTTGGTTACCATATGAACAGCAAACCCTAATTTGCTAGAAATAACCACCAGCAAGCATGAGTTACAGTATGTGGCCTCTTGGCATCTACCAGTTCACATAACTTCTCTGGCCAACTAAGAGCAACTATTGTTGCTTTTTGTGCTTTTAACATTAAAACAGATTTTCTAAGCAGTTTATGCAGCATAAAGCTGCCTTGTGTCACACCTACTCCAACCAGAATATGTGGGAAAAATTATCTTGGAGCAGTGTCTGATTTTTATCTTCAGCTCAAATACATTCTGTAATTCTGTCCAGAAAGACTGTGAGTCTCAGCAAGACAAAGAATATTTTGGTGTAATACATCTAACACTTTTAGACATATTTATTAACAATATTTACAGTGTTTCTGGCAACATCCAACAAAGAAGAGAATAAAATACATTCCTCACTTAGCAACTTCATTTCAGTTAATTCAACCTGCTTTGGTTGTAGGATTGTTTCTTCTGTGAAGAAGAAAAATGCTTCATCTCCTTCAGCTCTCACATGACTGGTATGATCTCTGCTGTGTCACAGAGCACCTTGGGCATGTTACTTCCAAGAACCTCTTATTTTGTAATTACATGGAAAAAAGGGAGATTTCACCACACTGGAAAGAAATGATGCAGGATCCTCAGTATACAGCTGGGTTTGGGCTTGGGAATTTGGGCCCAGCTTCAATTTCAGTTGTGTCTGTAAGCAGTAGACACACAAACATGCCATTTTCTCTGCTCAAATGCCTCTTGTTGAGGCAGCTGAAAAGAAGGGTGTGAGGAACAGATTATCAACCTGCTCTGCCTGGCAAGATGAAGTCCTGTAAGACCACTACTGTCTCCAGAAACCCCCAAACTGCCAACCAAGGACCACACTCCTGGTCACAGTGCTTCAGTACACCCCTGTCAACAGTCTTTCCAACACAGCCAAGAACCAAAAGCATGAACCAGGGATGAGAAGAGTTTTCTCTGCAGAGACCCAGGACTGAACTTGTGAACTATCTTAAGGACTGACAAGCCACCACAATGACCCAATCTAAGGTTTTGCCACAAAGGTAACTCCTGGGAGAAGTCCAAGTCACAAAATAACACCCTAGAGCCACATGCTGCAAAGGACAAACACAATTTGTGTGCCAAGAAAAAAAAATGAGTGATAAATGTGTCACTTGTCAACAGGACATCAACTGAGAAGTGCTAAAATTAATTCAGAGATCACAATGATTAACCACTTTAATTAATTGGATCTTTTACAACATAGGAAGCTAAACTCACGCAAAAGAAGACTTCCTTTTAGCTATAAAATAAGCTCAGAGTTCCCTACAGAAAGGGAACTCTACAGTTTTAGCAAGATGCAGAGAAAAATGACTACTATCCCTAGCCCAGAACACACCCATGCCCCAGCAAACAGCTGAACTCAACCGTTGGCACAGCTGCAGCTGAACCTTCAACTCCCATCACCAGAGCTCCTCCTCGGCTCAGTCCTCCCACTTTCTGAATAGAGTAGCAACGTTGTCACCACTCTTGTTTGAAGATTACTCAATTCAAATAAGGAGGGGGGAGAGGGAAGAACAAAACCAACATTTGTTAACTCACGTTGGATGTGTATGAACTGCTTTGGTTGCTTAAACTCTCCTTTATACAAACGATTGTAGTAGTTGACGTTGCTCTCCGCTTCGGGGACGGGGATAACCATGCTCTCTTTCTTTTCTCTGAAAACCTGCTGTGCTGAGATGGCCCGTTGCAAATGGTGTTCCTGCAAGAGGAAAATTAAGAGTTTGTTTAGGTAGCAGTATAGGGAAGTGCATGTAAGACAGTCATCCTTTCCTCCTGCTGTTTTCCAGGTGTTCTACGGGAGCCCCAGATAAAAGAGTTGAGGTTTTACTGTATTTTAGAGGACAGCAGGATGCTTGCTTTAGGGTAGAGAAAGGAGAACACGTGTCCCCCATCATGCAGGACACCATGGTGTTCCCAGCTGACAGGAATCTCAGAGCTCCAGTGAATGTAAGGCAGGACTACAAAGAGATGAGACAAGCCCTTTGCTCAGATAACAGCCCACATCATCTACCAGACTGAGAAAAAGACCAACATTCCAACTACAAAAACACAGTAGAAAATTAGTGCTGGTATATATATTTTTTTTTCCTTCACACAGCATTTTATGCATGAATTCAGTGAAACATCTACCACTGCAAGCTCGCAGCACTAGCCAGTGGCTTTCTTCTGCCCTGCACGTGAGTGCTCCTGACCCCCTCTGCAGTCTGCTCCACACCCCATGCCAAGGCTCCAAATGGCCAAGCTGGCACACCCTGCCTCCCCTGCGGCCAGCAGAGAGGAAGAGTGGTAGCCTTCACCAGGACAAGACCCAAGATCACCACAGCTACTTGCTTGGGGAAGTTCAGCTGTGAGTTCTGCATCCAAGTCAGTCAAACACACTGAGCAAACCATGGTCTGCTGGCAGATTCACTGCTGGTCTCTAGTGGAACCAGGAGCCTGAACGCTTGGCTCTCTTCCACTGCAGCATTCTTGCCTCCAGCTTCCAAATATTTGAGAGGAGGGAGGACGACACAGCACATCATCCACTTGGAAGTGCAGCTCAGCTCTGCCACAGACCCACTCAACCTCACCTTGCCTATTCCAGGGGCTCCAGGCCCATCTCTGGCCATTCCCACACACCTGACTGCTGGAAGAGTCTTTGTTCTGAACAAAAAAGACTTTGTTCCACTAGGTCTTTCTCCATTTTGTGGGGTACCCGTCCCCACGATGACCACCACTGCCTACCCTGCCTTGCAGGAGGTCTCCCACCCACACCACAACCAGAACCAGCCAGTGTTTTGGTGACCTGCACTGCAGCCTGGCACACATGGCAGCCTGGCATGCAGAGGTTCTGTGCCACACATGTGGTCAATTCTCTCAAGAGCAGAATTTCTTCCTCTTTAGTTCTACAGAATGTTATGGAAAAAAAAGTGGTGAATGAAAGTGTTTTTTTTTTTAAATATGTAAATGATATTGAATAAATTACACACTCTTAAATATTAAGACCTTACAGAAACACAAATAATGCAATTTCTGCAAAACTAGAAAATAACAAATCAGTGACTGAAAGAGCAGCTTTGGGAATCTCCTGTAGCAGATGAAGCAACTTTAAATCAAACTATCAGGCTCCCAAGTGAACGCTGTTAGAATTAAGACAAGCATGCAATCAAATATCTGCTGTGATCTGCTCAAGTTACTACAGACTGAGTAAATCTGCCACCTCACCAGTAAAACCTGTCCTGGAGAGCTTCAGTGTGCCCAGTAGGTAATTCAGCTACCATAAAATTTCTTTCATTACTGTGCTGCTCTCGGCTGATGTCCTGAGAGCTGTGCCCTAGCAGTTAACAGCAGGGCACTGGAGTGCCTGGCAGGAAGGACTTGTGGAGGTTATCTGTCCAACTCCCAGTTAGGGCAGGTATCTCCAGCACTGGAGAGGTCAGTCATGACTCTTTCCAAGTCCTGGAAACCTCCAGTTTCCACAGCACCTCTCAGTACACCTGTTCCAGTGACCTACTAGCCCTCTTCTGCCAGAAGAAGAAGAGCTGTTCCCTCATTCTCTCCTCAGAGTAGCTACAGGCTAAGCTTCTACCACTCTGGCAGCCCACTGCCAGATTATCATAGAGTTTCTCAATGTCTTTGAGAAATTTGGGGAAAGCAGATGTCAAGGTTTAGGATTAACAAGATTAACAGGAAAGAGCATTCCAAGAGCAGCCTCAGCCCTTACAACTGGAGGAGCATCATGACTTCCCCATCTGGCAGCCACATTTCTCCTGTGCATGGTCACACAGCCTTGCTGTTCTGCCCTGGGTACACAAGTTCTAAGCTTCTCACTTGACCTCACAACCTTTCAGCTGGGCCAATTCTCCTTTCTCAGCATCCACAGAGATGAATGCTCCACTGCTGGCAAGCCAACAGCTCCTCCTAATGCAGGACCATGTAACACTGCATTCCTTACACAGCCAACCAGCTGAAGTCAACCACTTCCCAGCTCCCCACCACACAGAATAAAACACTACACACTCCTCTAGAACGGGATTAAATCACTTGTAGAGAAGCCACTCTAGCCCACGGTGGCCTGAGTAACAAATGGCTAAATAAGGTTTAACTTCCTGAAAAAGCAGTGAAGGAGAAGACAAAGGAACTAAAATCCAGAACATCTTTAGGCTCTGCAGCCCATTAAAGAGCAGAGATGAGTAACTCAGACTGGCAGGTTTTGTAACACTGCTAGAAAGCACATGAGGAGTTCCCAAGGAAAATCTGACAATAGGTGTTAGTACTCACTTTACTATGAGAAGCCTTCAAGCATAACACAGCTTTCCAAGTCTGAACAGTATTACTGCAGAGCTTCAACACAAACAGATAAGCTACACAGCTTTTACAGTGGGGGGATAAATCTTTCTGCTGAACATGAACTTAAGGGAAATACAAATTTTAACTCCTGAAGCAGTCCTGTTTAAAACTCTGAAGACTTTTATGGAAGTTGGTCTAATTAAACAGCTTTATTAAACCTAAAAAAAAAGCTATATGAAAGAAATTAATGGGCATGTCAATAGACCTTTTCATCTATTTTTCACTTTTTCTTATGGTTTAGAAGACAGCATATTTTAACTTGTACTTCATGTTGAACTAGGAGAGATAAAAAGATCTCATACAAAGTAAGTGAATGTTAAGAGGTAACAGTGATGATGGCAAAGAGAACTTGCTGCCATGGGAATAAAAAGAGGTACCTGTCAGAGTTGCTATCCACTAATTCCTGAAAAAAGCACATCCAAACCTTTTGCACTAGCATGAATAAAAATGCCAAACTGATACAGCTTAGATTGAACTATTTCTTCAACTAGCAGTGTAACTGAATTAGAAATACCTAAAAGTTTAGCATACATAATCCTGCTGCTTTAGCATATTTTCACATTAAACCACAGCTGTTCTCCATGGGAATGGTTCACTGCTCTAGATGCACTGGAGCCACACAGGTACCTCCACTCTACAGTAACCACAGACAGCAGTTCACACCAGACTGCTCAGGCCACTGGCTTCACCTGATCCAGCACCCTCTCCTTGGAGCAGACAGCCTGTCCTGCCAGCCTGAACCCCCTCCTTCCCTGGGGAGCAACACAGAGGAGCACATGGCACCAGCCAGTCTCACACCACCACCTCCCAGGCTCCAACCCAGATGGCTTGACAGCCACTCACAGAAGGGCTGACAAAGTATCAGCTTCAGCCCAGAAGGAGACTTGAAATCACGCCTCTGAAGCTATGCTGAGACACTGAAAACCTTGCTTCCATTTCTCCCCAGAAGAATTAAAAACCAAAATGAACTTCAGCACTGGTACCTAAGAACACTCAGCTTTGGTTGCACACATTCAGAATCAGGCTCGAAGCCCAGATCAGAGCAAGGTACCTTCACTGCTGTGTCCTGTCACTCCTGAAATACCACACGTTTCACGTTCATTCCAAACTCTCTACCTGGGAGTTCCTTCACTACAAAAAAAAAGTTCAACAATAGTAATAAGTCAACAGGTAATAATCTCCTAAAAATTTTTTTTTTGTTAAGCTTTAAAGGAAACTGGTAGATACCAAACAATGTTTTTACCTGTTTGAAAAATAATTACCAGTATCCTCCCTCTTATTCTGCTGCTGCAAAAGAGAGCACTTGGTTACAGACCAGTTTGGGGTTTTCCCTTATCCTTTAGGTTCCCTGTTGCCATCCCCTAGATCACCTCCTCTGAAACAGTTTATTATACATTTAAATAAATGTGCCAGTCCTCCCACATGGGAGCTTCAGGTGACCCAGCTTACGTTAGACATTTGCAACACCACAGACGCTCATGACAAAAATATTTTGACAGATGTTCCCCTTAAGTCTCAGTAACAAGCCACACCACAGCTTAGTTGTTAAAATCAACCCTCTTTAACAAGATAAATGGTTTTAACTCCACAGGACTCCACTGGAGTACAATGGAGGAGAAAAGTGAATTTATTAACAGCTTTACCTACTCAAAATAAGCTATTTCTACATCAAGTCAGAGTCAGTCTTCCCACCTGCAACCAAGAACAGAATAAAACAACAAAAACATAGTAAAGCCTAGAGAGCCTATTTGCTTATTTTACCAGGAAACACAAATTAATTGACATTTTAGTATTGAATGCAGAGACTCAAAACCAAGTAGCACAGCATTTTAATCTGAGGTGTGCAGACTCCTCTCCCAGAGCCTCAGCCACGGGTACACCTCCTGGCGATGCCTGCAGAAAAGAGCCCCATGAAATTCAGAAGGTACTTTGATCCAGAGCCTTCCAAAGCCCTTCTGAATCCCCAGCCCTATCGACTCCCACAAACATTTCCAAGACAAAGGGTCAACAACAGCAGCAGCTTTCCTTCCCTTCCGAGGTTAACCCTTCACTGCCAGAAGAAAACACGGCCAATTAATACTTATCCTCCGTGCAGAAAGAGCTTGGTATTTTCTGTCAAGGAGGATCCATGTCTCCACAACACCAACAGGATGAATCTCTCCTTCAGCTGTCAGCAGCTTACTGGCACAGCTTTTTTCATTACAAGATACTCCTGGATACATCAACTTACAAATAAAATCCTGTCCAGTTACCTGGAGTATGTATGACTGACTTCTTACCTTAACATTTCACTGGAAGTGAATCTAAAGAGCTGAAAGGCTTAAAAGGGAAAGAAAAAAAAGATACCTATAGAGCTGTTTTCCT